AACATGCCATCCTCCTGCTTCAGCTACCTCAATAGCTGAGACTTGTGGGAGTTTTGCAAGGATTAAATGAGAAGCTTGACAAGCCTCATGTACCCAAGAAAAGAATGTGGCAGTTCCTCTGTTCCAGGTGGTAAGAATGTGTGTGTGTGTGTGTGTGAGAGAGAGAGAGAGAGAGAGAGAGAGAGAGAGAGAGAGAGAGAGAGAGAGAGAGAGAGAGAGAGAGATCAGAGGGTGCTCTGCTGCCCTCTGTGGGTAGGCACCACCTTGTCAGATGCCAGTGCAATACAGGCAACCCCACTGGGCTCCCAAGTCCAGTCCTTCTCTCCACTACAGCAACAGAGGAATAGTCAGCTCTTGCTATGGCTCAGAAGCCAGTCTGATGAAAATGGGATTCAGTATGCAACTAAGCTGCCTCTAAGCTTTGTCATTCTTGGGAGCCTTCCAGAGAAGCTGGTCTTTGAGCATCTCTGAAAGAAAGAAGCCAAAGGTAGGTGAGGCAGGAGATGAAAAGGAAACACTGGTGTGTGTGTGTGTGTGTGTGTGTGTGTGTGTGTGTGTGTGTGTGTGTGTGTGTGTGTTTCACTTCTACCTTCCATGCAGAGGCTGGAATCGCTACAGTTGACCCCTCTGAGAACATCAGAGTAAAGTAGAAGTGGGTGCAAACTTTCCACCTGAAAAAGGAAAACTCCTTTGAAGGCTTGGTAGGTTAAATTGAGTATCTCACCCCCTTTTTAGTCTTCATCCTTTCCACTGTCTGGAGGGAGAAAGTAGAAGGCAGATCCCAAAAGCCTTTAGTCTGAAATATTCTGTTTGCTTAGAGAAAGCCCTCCCAAATCATGGATTGAAATGGTTCTAGGTGAGTCTTGTTCCCTACCCCCACCCCCGCATGTGCCTCCAGAAAAAGGTTTAATGGCACAAATCTGGGAGGAAAAGTACATTTGCTCTGTTTTGTGAAGAGTACAGAAAATCAGGAAGCATGCTGTCACCTGGAATTACTGTTTATTTCCTTGGTTTTCTTCCTCTCATTTCTTACCCTCTACTGCCTACTGGGAATCTTCAAGATTCACTATTTACTCAGCAGCCGAGCAGTGCATCGGTTACAGTGGGAGACACTGGACCAAGAGGTCATTGCTTGAAATCCAGTTTACAAAAGAGCTCAGTATCTTGGTGGGCAAGTCTGGCCTTCTCAAAGGAGGTAGCAAATATACTTTCTGCTTCTAGTTTCTGGAAGGCATCGTTACCCAAATACCAATACCAGATAAAGGTATTGCAAGAAAAAGGCTAAACAAAACCTCTCATGAGCACCCATGCATAACACATTATCAGTGTTGGCACATCAAACCCACCAAAGTCATTTCCAAAGGCTGCTAACCACCCACTTCAGATTAAGATCAGATAGTGTTGCCCTATTCCTTGGGTCTCCTTGCTCTTGGGTGTCCACATTTCATTCTGTGCTGTTTGAATTCATTTAGATCATGACATGTTTTGTGATTAGCTTATTTTAGTTTGGTATTGTTCAATGTTTTTGTGTAGGAATGGAGAGATGGCTCAAAGGTTAAGAGCATTGACTGCTCTGCCAGACAGAGGTCCTGAGTTCAATTGACAGTAACCACAAGAGAGCTCACAACCATCTGTAATGGGATCTGGTGCCAGAATGTTGTAAACAGAATAAACAATGTTATTGTATAATTTCAAGGTGCTTATAGAGCTTCATTCACATTCCCCAGATATGATTGTATCAAGAGATACTGTTGCTTATCTGGGTATGATGACAGTCATTTAATCCCAGCACTTGAGCCCCTGAACCAAGAGGATTAATGCTAGCTTCAGGGAACCTAATTGTTAATTATCTGTCATTTATTTCACCCAGGATGGACCCAATCCTACACATTTCCCTCAGTCCCTACAAGCACAGTGCTAAGATTCTAAGTTCCCTCTCTTTGATGGATGGTTGACCTGAGATCTGTTCAATTTGAGAATCCCAATCCCAGCAAGGACATTGTGGTTTAGCCCAGCTTTGAAGGAGTATGTACCTAGCTCCAGAATCCTTGCAAGGCCGGGTGTGCTTCAGCCTTGCTTCTATTCTTTTACTTAAAGTATGGGGAATTGTTTTCATTGAATTTGACCACATCCACTGATGAACATAAGCAGAAGGACAGTGGAAAGAGTATCACACTTGAGATTCTCACGGAGGACATCCCACAAGCAGGAATACTGTATGTACACAAAAGACCAATATTTTATTGCGTGCAACTGACTGAGGGAGTGAAAGGGCAAGGGAAGGGAAACAGGAGGAAATTTAAAGATAAAGTTGAAAACTGAGAACAGGATGACATCGAAGAAGGAGACTGAACATTTATGTAGTACTACCAGAAAAATATTTTCATGCATACAAATTTGCCTTTGCCTATATAAACCAGTTCCAGTTACTATCAAGCAGGACTGATCCATATTAGCTAAAGTACACTATGCTTAACAAGGTTTTGCATGGTGACTCAAACTGACAGAAGTGTAGCAATAAAAGACCGTTGCAGATATTCTCATTGTAATTACAAGTTTATATCACTTGTCATAGCTTCCATAGGTACCAATTATATGTTCCTTCCATCTTTTAAATGATATTTACTTTTTAATTTATGTGAGCATAGTTATATGCATATGTCGAAGTGTAAAAACAACAAGAATGACATGTACTCCATTACTAATCTCTTAATACTCGTGTGTGTGTCTGTGCACGTGCATGTGTGTGTGTGTGTGATATGTTAAGTGCACAGTGGCTCTCTTATCTTACTTGCTTATTCATTTTTCAAGCATAAGAAAATATATTTTATAAATAAGTTTCATCTGCAAACTTAAAAATAACATTTGATTATGTGTTGGGAATTTTTTTGTGTGCCTGTACGTTTGTGTGTGAAGTGTGTGAGCAGTGTTAAAAATCAACACAGGCGTTCACATATGATAGACGGTCACCCATCTATAGAGGTATACCTCTATTATGCAATTCAATTTCCCACTCAAATTCCATTTGCCATCCATTACACCAGCACTATTGTATTTCCAAAGAAGAGTCCACTGGTGGGTCAGGTTTTACACTTATCTGTTCTGCAAGATTCAGTAATATGGAAGTCATTGTTTTTCTGAGACCATCAGAAGCTATTGAGTTGAGAGCTATGGTTACTATAAAAAGTGGTCTGTTCTTGATTTTTGTATACAAATACATTGAATTGAGGTTGTAAAATTTTAAAGTGTGATGTTGTAACTATTATATTCATGGTGAACAAAATATGGAAAACACTCTATGCACTTACTTCAATACAATCTCTCTAAACTAGACAACATAGCAATAAAGGAGACAAATGGGAAAATTAAAGTGTATCCTGTCCAAACCTGAGTTTGTAACAGAAAGCTGGGAAAGCCAGGGTGAGCAGACAATCCTGAAGAAAAACACTTTCCTACCTGCTTGATTTCAATTGTGGCAAATTCTTTTATGCTTATCATTTGTGTGTTTGTGTATATGTGTGTGTGTGTGTGTGTAGAAAATAACCTGTGGCAAATTCTTTTATGCTTATCGTGTGTGTGTGGTGTGTGTGTGTGTGTGTGTGTGGAAAATCACCTTGTTCTCTTATGAAGTCAATTTTATTTAGATATTGTTGCACCAGTGGCCTGTCTTGCCAGGATAGTCATTATTGTGGATTACAGAGTACACAGATTGATTAGACTGAAGATTCCTATTGTCTTCCAGTAGCAGGTATCCAAAACCCAAGTATTATTAGAATTAGTCAATAAGCACACACACACACAGAGGCGCTCATTAGGCACCACCAGTCCTTGGGGGACTTTGTACAGATAAGGTGTGTTGTCGGACTGGAAGTCATAAAATTAAAGAAAAAGGAAAGGCATGTAAACAGCCACACTTTAACTCTATGGATGTTAAGGTCAGGATGGCAGTTTGAGGGGTTATTTCTACTTAAGTTTGAGCAGAAGGCTCAGAAGGCTGGTGTGGCTTTGTAAATTCACTAAAATTCACTGATGCCTGTACTGTTCAAAGGAACCTCCAGTTCCCCAAACTCTAAGGGCAGGCCCAGATATCCTGAAATGGGCTAAACCTGGAATTTTGTAGGATTTTGGATGGTAGACAAAAGGAAACTTTCCTCAGAACCTTGTGGACTTGTTCCAGTCTTCCCAAAGTTGTCAGTTCGCTTATCAGTGGCAGGAGGGAAAATGGCTACTGTGGTGCATGTTACTCTAATTAGGCCTTCGGGACCCTTCAGTATCACAGGTTTCTGTTTCAGTTTTCACAGTCTGTCTTCCCACCTCCCCTACCCTAAACTCTCTCATTCATAAGCATCCCTCCTGCAGCTTCTCTCTCTAAACCTCTCTCTTGTCTCCTCCTGTCTCTATTTTCCTCCCCCCCCCCCAATCTGTCTCTTCCTCTGACTCTCTGATCTGTACCTGCTTCTATCATAGTCAGGTCCTTTTGGCTGACTATATGCATGAAACATCTCCTTTTGCTCTGGACATTCCTGGTGCCTCGATCTGTTCTAATCTGAGAGCAATACTAAAATACTTCCTCTTCAACATATCACTAAGAGGTCATGTTGTCGGTTTGTACAATAGCAAGAAACAGTTTAAATTATACATAGCACACTTTAATGGGAACACATTACAAACTTATGTACAGAATACTGTGTCATATTTTAGATGAATATTTAACTTTAAATTTATAAATTGAATAAAATCTTCTTGACAGTTTTGTCAGTTGAGTTGAGTTGGTCCAGTTAAGGTCATGTTGTCAGTTTGTACAATAGCAAGAGACAGCTTAAAATAATACATAGCACACTTTAATAGGAACATATCACAAACTTATGTACAGAATTCAATATATACTGTGTCATCTTTTAGATAAATATTTAACTTTAAATTTATAAATTGAATAAAATCTTCTTGACAGTTGTGTCAGTTGAGTTGAGTTGGTCCAGTTAAGTACTTCTTTTAAAGAACTAATCATCTTCACCTGCAACTGAAAAGGAAAGCAAAGAGTTATGAGTAGTATCATTGATAATATTATTGATAACATTGTCTGCATCAGCAATAGCAGTGTCAGCATCAGTAGATTATGAAGTGTCATCAATATACTTGTGTTAGCAAAAGTGTGAGAATATAGAGTCTTGTTTGTGTTATTTTGGGATGTTACTGCTTTGGAAGGGTTTGTTTCCAAGTTGATGATATCCACATAAGTCACAGTATATGAATAGAGAAAAAAAGAAACTAATCTTAACAGTCATATTTCTCTGCTTAGCAACTCATAACAGAATAGGACACAACGGTGGACCTACCAACTTTACTTGGTCAGTTTCCTTGAAATAAATTGACTTGTTATTTTCATGTGATGTATTTCAATATGACCAGAAAAATAAAGCATTTTGTTGTCTGGTTCTAGGTAATGCCTAAAGACTCCTATATAAGGCATGAAATTTATTAATAACACATTGAGTGGCAAAGTGAATGAGATTTCTACTACAAATATCTTCATCTATTCTAAACCACTGCTGGGTCCAACTGACCTTGTTCAGCTTTTTCATTACTGGGGCCTCCTTGGAAATCTTCGTTTATTGTAATATCCACATCAGCATTGAGAAGAAGAATTTCAGAAACCACATCAAGGATGTTATGAGGAGCAGTGACATGCTTGTTAACAGAAGAGTAACAGACTTCGTGTGGGTATTACTTGTACAGTGGGTGTAGTCAGCTAGATTTTCAGCATCCAAAATTATGTCAGCATCCTGTATAGCATCCAGAGCATCACCTGGGACATGAACATGAGCAGATGATTCCTCATCAGTAGGAGAATCTAACCCTTGTGCTCCACTCTAAGACAAGCTTTAAGAACTGGTCAGCCCTTTGAAAAGGGTTCATGATGTCATTAATTTGATTACCAGGAGTGATTTCAGGGGCAGTATGTGGTCTTCCCCTTGAAAGCCCAGTATAAGTACCTAAAGGAAGCTGGAGAACACGGGCAGTGTCACAAGCTGCGCCCAAGTCCTGTTTTTTAGTTGCCACAATTTCAACACTATCACCACTGCCTGAAGAATATGTTGGCACGATGTGGGCAGTAGGCTGGGGCACAGCAATATCATGATCATCAGCAATTTTTGGAAAATGTTCTGCCTTCTTCTTTTCAACCTTTAAGGAGATTTTAAGATGTTAGTTTTCATTACAAATTTCATTGTTTTTATCCATTTTAAAACTTATTGGTTAATGATGGGGTATAAATGGAGTTCTTGATTCGTCTAAATAATAACTAGAGTCAGATTCAGAGGGAAATGCTGAGAGATAGAGAAGAAGCCACCACCACACTGTACCTCCTTCACATCTCAGCAGACAAGAGAACAAGTTCTTGTTTCTCCCTGCTCTCTCATGTTTCTGCCCCACTGCCTCACTTCCTGGCTGTCTATACAGACCTCCACACATCTATGGTTAGGTAGTCTCAAGCTCCACTGTCTGGCTTTCAGACAGGCTTTGTTTGTCCAAGTAAGATATCACATTGGTGTTCTGATTTACAGTCCCCAAATGTTTGTTTGCTCAGTCATACTTTATAACAGCCACTGATAACCTGTAACCTCTGCTTCCTTTATGTTTGATGAAAAGTCCCAGAGTGTTGAGAAGTCTTAAAAAGAGACCTGCTCATTTTTATGTCTTCTTTTCTTCTGCTTTTCCTATCTGACTTTGCCAATTTCTATAATGTGAAGATGTAAAAAGGAAAGGACAAAACGTGACCTCTCTTGTCTCTACGACCAGGATTTTACACTTCTCAGTATTGAGAGAATGTGAAAATGAGGGGTTTTTGGAATAAAAGGAACCTCTCTCATCTGCACAGCCTTTCACAATTGTTCATTAGGTTCCTGAGATAACAGAGCCATGACGGTGACCTTTGAAATGCATGAATAAAGTGTGCTGTTACCCACAGCAGAGGTGAACAGAGGAGATGAAATAAGGATTCTGGGAAATGCCTCCCAAGGTCTCACTCCTTAACCATGACTGTTGTTAGACATGGAGGTTGGTTATAATGCCCTGATCTTCCCTGTGGTGGCTTGATTGAGAACTGCCTGATGGGAGATGTCATTCTGTAAAAATGTTTCTCATACTGGTTAATGAATAAAGCATTGTTGGCCAATAGGAAAGCAAGATAGGAGGGATTAGGAGACAAGGAGGAAAGAGGAAGCAGTAAGGAGAGTCAAGATGGAGAGTCTGGAAGAATAGAACCGCCAGCCGCCTCTCGCTGGTAAGACCATGGGGAAATACATAGAAATGGGTTAATATTTAAGACAGAGCTAGCCTATAAGAAACAAGTAACTGGCCAACAGCATAATATAAAATACAGAGTCTCTGTGTGTTAATTGGGGCTGGCGGTGGGACAAGGCCAGCAGCGGGAGGAAAAACCGTACCCCTTACAACTGCCCCCATGGGCTTATGTGCTTGAGTGCTTAGTTTTTGTTGGTGGAACTATTTGGAGGAGAATTAGGATTTATGGCCTCATTGATGAAGTTGTGTCACTGGAGGTGAGCCTTGTTGTTTCAGAGCCTGATGCCGTTTTCAGTGAGCTCTCTTGTTTCTTGTGTGCATCAGTGGTAGACCTAGGCTGCTGCTCCAGGAAAATGCCAGCCTGCCTGAACCATGCTAGTGATGAAACTGTATGTATCTCATTGGAACCATAACCCCACTCCAAAAGAATCCTTCCTTTTAGGAGTTTTCTTGGGCATGGTGGATTACTACTTCAGTGAAAGTTACATAGCCATCATGTAATTACAGAATGAGTGACATGAACAAAGCCTGACAAAGGACTGACTCATTTCCAGAGTGGAAGGTGTGTTATGCAGTGAATTATGCCCAAAACAGGGGAACATTTCCATAATATTAGCATGAGTGTTCCCAGGAGTGAGGGTACGAAGGAAGTGAAGGACGTGTTCCAGGCTCTTCTCTTCTCTGACACTATTTGCAATGCTGCCGGCATGGGAACAGAGAGACATTATTCCCCTCATAAGCAAATATTACTTTTCAAATGAGAAGGAATTACCATTAGGGATGTTTTCTTTTCAGGCCTCTCAGGTCTTGTTTCTCGTTTAGTACCCATGTTCACTTCAGATTTCCAAGTGGGCTGGCCCTTCTCCTTTATTCTGTCCATCTTGTCAAGAGGTGAAGTTTGTTTCAGTGTTTTCTGCAATGGAAATGTAAAGGGTTGACTTTCCTGATTTGATTCTGAAATTAACTTTTATGTGCACAATTTCAAAATTCCTTCAGTCCTTAGCAGTCACAGAGGATTGAAACATGAAGAGTAGAAACTATTACTTAAAAGTGAAATATCTTCTAAGCTTATCAATTTAAAAATTACTATGGTATCATCTAAAAGTAAAAATATTCATGCCAACTAGATTAATAGACAACCATGAGCTGAGAAATTTGGCCTTTCCCTGTGGCTCAGAATAAATTGAATCTTCTATTTTTGAACTTTCTGAAACTCATACAAGAAGATTATTAATTTGAATTATTTCCTCTCATCGGTATCTCTCTTATATGGTTGGGAGGCAAAATGCATATTATTTTTCATTTACAAACAGACTCTCATTTAATTATTAGTGTGGTAGAAACTTATTTGTATACTGATTCACATTCAAGTCGTTAATATCCAAGCAATGATTCACACAACCCATTATTGTAGAACTCTAGATTATAAGCAGTTTTCCTAAACTCCAAGGAGATCACAGCAATGTAATCACTTTCATGTGAGTACACACATGACGAATTACACACTCCAATATTTTAAGTGTTTGATTGTGACACTATAATATACACTTATTATATTATTTAAAATAAAGAACAATATCCAGATGTTAAAGTGTTACTGAACAGTATTTTTATCTTCATTTGGGCTATTTGGGGAAAAGATACTGTGTAACTAGAGGAAAGTATTTCTATGTAGTCCTAGTGGATTCAAATAGAAAATAGTCTGTAATCACTACATAATGAAAATTTTGGTGAATGTGTTACAAATGGCCAAATTTCCAAAATTTCCTGTTAGTGTCAATTCAGAAGCCAAGACAGATACTGGAGTGATGCTGTCATGTGTGATTTAGAAAGGGGAGTGTCCAAGGGAAGATAAACTTCCTGAATTTATGTGGAAGGTAAAGAAAGCCACCCTGGTGACTCCAGAATCACTGAAATAACTGGACCCATTAAAATGTATCCAGGTTTATCACCACAGTCATGTTTTAAAGTTACTCTAATATGTATTTGTTTCTGCAAACCAAACATCTCCTATGTGAGGACTGCACTCAATCTTCTACTCACTATGTTTCCAGTCTATTCCTTATTGGGCCACTACTACCTGCAAGGACCTACTGCTCACTTGGAATTTATAGAAAGGACCGTTCATACCTACAAAATGGTTTTTTTTCTGACCAAGTTTCCATATAAACTGTGAATTTCAAAATGGATCATTTTACCTTAACAGAGGGACTCTCCTTGTCCTCTTTTTTAGATCCAGGAGGAGTGTTTTGTTTTTCATATGGGCTTTAGAATAAAAACATGTAACAATGGTTAGGTTTGGTTCTTTGAGGAACTCTAAAAAGTTTTGTTACCTGTGTAGTAAATTACATTTCACACTTATGTAATTCAATATTGACCTGTGTTTTAAAGATTTTTGCTGCTTTCATGCGTTCCCCCTAATGTGTTCACATTAGGTGAACACTCACTCATAGTTGTATTTAAAAATAAAAAGTAAAACATTCAGTGACTTGGAAGATGGCTTAGTCAAGTAGAGTGCTTGCTCCCCACACACAACAGCCTGACTTTGAATCCTCGGCATCCACATAAAAAGCCCAGCAGAGACACATGCATTTGTCTCTGTTGAACATGGGTGATCAGGACAGGGGATCACTTGAGCTTTTTAGCTGCCAGATCAGCTCCAGGTTCAGTCAGAGAATTTATGTCAAGTACATAAGTTAGATATTGATAGGAAATGACAATACCCTCACCTTGTATTCATGCCTTCAGACAGACACACGCAGAGCATGCAAAACACACACACACACACACACACACACACACACACACACACACACACACGCACATGCACACACACACATGGAAGGAAAACACTAGTTCCTCCTCAGCCATTTTTTAAGGCTGCAGTAACTGATGGTTTATATTCATGTGCTCAATAATATTAGTGCCTTGATTTCACTGGTCATTTACTTTTGTTCCCTTAGAGCACAAATCCCCTTATCTGTCATGATATTTTGTGGGTTTCTCACTGTATGTGATATTATCTCCTCAGAGCTTGATTAGTGGAACAGAGAATAGATTCCTGTGTACAAGATACCATGGTCTTGGATATGTTTAAGCTCTTCTTTGTAGCCCATTCACAAGTGAATCTCGAAACTACAATCTGCCTGCTTCTATTCCAAACAATCATTTCTAGGAACTCAACAAGATAAAAACATGAGTAAACAACAATAAAACTTGGAGACAATTTTAAGATTTTACTTTTGAACTGTATAAAATTCCAAGTTGAAAGCAACATTCTTTTATCAAGGTGTGTCTGAAAATTTGTAGCTACTGCAAATTATAAATCCACACTTTGGATATTAGCTATGATTATTTTTAGATTTTTGAACTGGGAGTAAATAAACTATTTACTAATGTGTATCAAATGTATTACTGATACATAGTCTCACACAAGACTACAGAGTTGTTCCCTAGTATGGAAGTGATCAATCAAAATGAGCACAGAATTATGAAAGTCGCTAGCGCTGACACAAAGCCTCTGCATGTGGAGAAGATATCAAAGGAGGAAAGTAGGTTGTTGGTTTTAGTAATACTGTCTGATGACTCAGAATGATCCCTAAATCTGTAGGCTCTCAGAAGCATAGATGCAATGAAGGTCTATCTCACAAGGTGATTTCACAAAGTTTTGGAAAGCTGTGAAGTGTCAAATGGACATCAGTGTGTGGGAATGTCAAGAGGCTCATTTTCTAAAACAGAGTTGACACTGTGTAAATGGTGCTTGAGTAGAAACGTCATGTCCATATGACCTAAACAGAACAACTTTTCATTTTAAAAACTATAGATAGTACTGTGGGGAATGTAAGACAAAGCAAAACTTAAATATATAAAAGGCTGTCTATCTGAGAGTCCACCCAAGAATTAGTTTGTTCTCTTTTAATTTCCCTACTATGAATGTATTATTTTAGCTTACCTGGAAAAAGGCTTTGTGTCAGGGCTATAGTATACTTCTAAAAATGAAAGCAAAATGTGTTTTATTACAACTTTAGTAAAACATAACATATGAAATGATTAGACCTGTCGTTAGTATCACCTTTTAGACCAATCTAGAGACACAATTAAAAAAGAACCAATATGCTGCATGAACATTGATGTAAAAATACCCAATAAAATACTGGCAAACTGAATCCAAGAGAAATCATCCACCATGTCCAATTTGGCTTTATCCCTGGATTGCAGGGAGGGTTCAACATACTAAAACTATCAATCTGATCTAACATATAAACAAACTGGAAAAAAAACACATGATCATCCCACTATATTTTGAAAAAACTTTTGACAAAATTCAACACACTTTCATGAGGTCTTGGAGATATCAAGGTTAACACCAACATACCTAAACATAATAAAATCAATATACAGTAAACCAACAGCCAACATGAAACTGAATGGAGAGAAATTTAAGACGATTCCTCTAAAATGAGGAACAAGACAAGGCTACCAACTCTCTTCATATCTCTTCAATATTGTACTTGAAGTTTAAGCTAAAGCAAAAAGACAACAAATGTATATACAGGAGATACAAATACAAATTGGAAAGGAAAATGTCAAAATGTCACTATTTGCAGATGATATGACAGTTTATATAAGTGACCCAAAAAGCTCTACCAGAGAAACTAGGATTGAGGGAGGATTCCCCTCACAGAAGGGGAAAGGGACAAGATCTGCTGAGCATAATGGAAGTGGGAGGGTGCAGTGAGTGGAGAGGGGGCTAGGAGAAAGAGAAAGGGAGGAGAGGAAAGCTTGTGGGAGCAGGAAGATTGAGTCAGGGGATTAATAGACAACAGAAGAAAGAGAAAGACTCACACACACACACACAGAGAGAGAGAGAGAGAGAGAGAGAGAAGAGAGACAGAGAGAGATAGAGAGAGAGAGCTTAAACAAGGGAGCCATTATAGGTTTGAAAGAAAGCTGAATCTAGAGAAATGTCCAGAGACCTAATTCTGGCCATAACAAACAATTTGAGCAACAGTAGAAAGGCTTCCATAAATGCCCTTCCCTGATAATGAGACTGACCACTGACTTATCCACCATCATATAGCCCACATGAAGTAACTGATGGAAACAGAAGCAGACACCCACAATTGAACACTGAGCTGAATTGGGATCCAGATGCAGAGAGGGAAGACAAGACCAGTCTACAGAAACACATAGAAACAGCTGAGCTGAAAAAGAGGAGCTAATTTTCCCCCAGATTGATAGCTAGGAATCCAGCATTGGACAGACTCAGACCCCCTGAACATGGGTCTCAACTAGAAGCCTGGGCAGTCTAAGGGACCTTTGATCCTAGAACCAGGATGTATCTCCCAGGTGCATAAAAGGACTTTGGGAGCACATTCCCCATAGAAGGATACTCTTTTAACCTAGAGGCAGGAGGGAGGGCCTAGTAACTACTCCAAATGACTTGACAGCTTTAGATGACCCCTCCTGGAAGGCATCACCCTAAATGTAGAATGAGTGGTGTTTGGATGGGAGGGTGGCTGGGGGCATAAGAGGGAGGGAGAGAGGGAAAGAGGGAGGGAATGAGGGAGGAAGGGAGAGTGAACTGGGATCCATATGTAAAATAAAAATGAAAATAAAAAAGTTATGGAGAATGCTCACATTTTTAAAATTAGAAACCTTAAAGAAATCAAGAAATGAAGTGATTGTGTCCTGTAGTTTCCTTTGTGATATACTTACACTTTTGTGGCACTCAACTGTGTAACAGCATACAGTACAAAATGGAAGACTTTTATTTCTAACCTCAAGAAAAATCCATATTTCTAACAATGCAATTTGCTACAATGTGACTATGGCAGCTATGTGCTGCATTAAGAAGGTTTCTCATTTATTCAAAGGCAGTTCAGATATCAGCATTAACATCAAATATGTCATGTTTGACAATATATGTTCACAAGTAAATGTGCTTAGGAATAATTTTTGAATTAATTGTTACTTTCTAGAGGATTAGAAAACAACATAACTGCATTTATACTTGGTTTCCTTAACTCATTTTGGGAAGCTAAAATGTTTAACTTCTCTGTTTTCTTTAGGGAAGGCAGGACCAGATAGAGTATTTCAGTATAAATTTCTTACCATTGTTGAATCTTACATGCTTCTTATTCCTCTGTTTTTGCCTTTTTGAAGATAACCTTACACTGTGACATATATTTGAAAGTGATTATTTTAATATTCATATAAAGCAGCATCTTTTCTAAACAATTTATTTTTGAGTGCCTAACATATGTTAAATTAGATATTTACAAATATTGTTTGAACATAGCATCTCACTATGTGGCCCACCTGGCTTTATATCCACTCCATGGAACATATTGTCTTTGAAATCACAGAGGTGGTCTCTTGACCACCTGCCTCCCAAGTTCTGGGATTATAGGCATGGGCAAACAAACCTAGTCAAATACCTCTGAATTCATTCTTCAGTTGTTGATTAGGATTAAGGACTGCTGCTTATCCAACTTTTCTCATGGAGAAGATACAGACATAATTTAGATGAACAGACATGATTAAAACAACACACACACACACACACACACACACACACACACGAGCTGTTGTTGTACTTATGTTTTGTTCTGATGGATCTAGTAGTTTTCTATTTTTGTGCTTATGGAGTTAGTTCTCCCATTCTATTCATGTCCCGAGTGTCCCACAGCCATATCTCTGGCATGAATCTTCAGATGCATTTCAGTGAGTGCAATACTGTATTTTAAGAGGGATGTTTAGTATGTCATGAAAGTTTTTCTATTTTGCTTCTAAGAATCACTCTGCCTGAATACTCAGAAGCTCTGGCATTTGTGGTACCTTCAAGATAGTTTTAATATTTTATTCATAATGAAATGCTAAAACCACTGTCTGGTAGTTCTTTTTCCATGAAGCATTTCTTTATAGTGCTGAGTCTTATAGGGCACTGTAGAGCATCATTGTTTCCTCGGCTCCATTTCATCTAACTAAAGCTAAGAGCTCCAAACTTCAGGACTTCTGGTAGGTAAGCAGTGGACTAACCACTTTCTCTTCCTACCTTCCTCCTACGTTGGCTTTCTCCAGAGGGGTGGAACTCATGGTGGGGGCGCTAATAACCTGCTGTACAAAAGCATGTCTATAAGCCCAATCTGAGGTGATCTTCACAAAGCTTGGAAGAGTCTTCAACATTGCCAAAACCCACATTCTTCCCAGGAGAAAATTTGCCCCAAGCATATAAGTGAATAGGATTAAATAATGCTTTTGTATATATGTACATGGCAAGTTATACAATATATGTATATATGTCATTTCAGGTATATACATGCCATGTGCAGGTGTGGTGACTGCAGTACAGATTTGAGGGTTGACCCTAGCCTTCAACCTTAGGTTTTTGTGGCTGGATTTCAGATTCATGAATGCTCTCCAACAAACTTCAGGGGGTTCACCGTCTCCACCTCCAATCTCACCATTAGCTCCCCAGGATTATAGATGCACAGGGGATCATCAGGCCTCATGTGGATTCTGGACACAACCTCCCATTCTCACATATGAACAGCAAGCACTTTATCCACTGAATCATCTCCTTAGCTATGGATTATTAACAGCATTTCACACTGTCTCAGAAATATAATCAGTCAGTTCAATATTGTGTGCTCTACAAATAATTATTCAGCCATGATTAACAGATACATAAAGAAGTTGGAGTTGTATTACACAGAGGAAATCATGGTGCCAGTTTCTGAACTTTATATTCTGTACATAACTCACTGTATTTTAAAATTTAAACACTCTTACCAGAGTGAGCTCTTGTGTTTCATTCTTCCACTAGCTACAAAATAGAAAGCAAAATGTGTTATACATTATGGGATATTCACATTGTCTCCTTCTGTGGCACTGACCACGCCCATTGGGGGTGGAGCCAGGGGCGGAAGTGACCTGTGGAAACAGGTCTGAGGAAGAGCCCGGGAATGCTCTCTTGCTGGCAGGAGGCAGAGTGGAGAGCATCTGATGGAACTTGCTGGTGTTCATCTGTCTACTAAACATGTATTCGGCCTATTTGTTTATCCTGATCCTTATTTAACCGCAATAATAAGCCTCTTTAGAAAATATGAGCATTTTAATGCCTAGGCTAATATCTTGTAACTACATATACACTGGCAGAAATTCTGGACAGCCTTTAAAGTGAGTATTTATTTACAGACAATAAATACATGGATAATTCTTAATTTTCAGTTTGTTGTGTGCTTCAAATACAGAGAGAAATTTATTAATATTTACAACTTACAATAAACTGGTGTGCAAAACACCTATATTCTTGAGCACTGTATGACAGAGAAACTGGCATCTTGAACAGAATGACTATCACAGACGAAAGTGTTAAAGTGAAGCACATCATTCCTGTTACTGGTTTTGTCTCAGGACTAGTGGTTCTGGGAGAAATGCAAGAGAGTGTACTCATCTTGTAGAGAAGTACAAAGAGCTTCTCCAAGAATTGAGGTGACCTTGTTCCATTGAGGATGAAAATTACAAACACAGAAAGCTAACTCAGTCTATGGTGACTGCCCTTTGTAGTATAGCAACACATAGGTAACACAAGCAGGCCAAGGACAAAGACCTTAGCAAAGAATTTCCAGCTTCTGGTGTGGCAAAGCTCCAGAGAGATCAGTATGTATACTCTCCTGGACTGCTTCTGTGGAAGATGCTAAAGCACCCCAGGTGTAGGTATGCTTCCTTGCTCATTTGCAGTGAAAAGAATTTCACTATCAGCTGCTATCGCCTCCCATGGTAAGGGCTATTGGAAATATCCTACAGTAGTTATGGGCCCTGACCTGATTCTCCAGGGAGAGAAACATGGAAGGGATGTGGGGACAGAGAAGCAATCCCAAGGAAATAATACTTCAAAGGTAACATTTTTGTTTCCAGAAATATACCACACAACTGAGCCAAACTTTCACTAAATACTAGCAGCATGGCCTCTAAAAAGGAATAAAAGCAATTCTTATTTCATTTTCAGCTTGTGAAACTTCAGTGTAAACACCTTGGCATTGCCCATGCTGGGGTAGAACATTTTCCCCACCAAAAAAAATGGTCTGAGAATGTGATTTTGCATATAGGAGACCTCCATCAATCCTCTTCATCACAAAGAAAAAACTCAATGCTCTGATAGAAAATGACTCACATTACATAAATACTGATTTTTTTCACCTCGTCACTTAACAAGTACGTCATTCAGATTCGTCTACACTATTCCCTTGCTGGTATGCTCTCCAAAGACAGGGTAGGTGTGAAAGATGCTGTGGTGACAGTTGCTGAAAGCTCTTACTATGTGGTGTCCCCCCCCCCCACACTCTTAGAATCTTCCCTACACTCCATGGACCAGACACTGCCTTCCATTACAGAATGATGTTTTTTCTCACCTTTCCTCCTATTATGCACATTTTTCTAGAAAGTATGTCTTGCAGCATATGAACCTAGTGTCACCATAGCCCACACTCACTAATTAGAGAAAAACTCTGCCAGCTAGTCAATAGGGACAGTGCTTGCCTAGAAGAATTATAATGGCAGTGTTTAATCCGCGGCACTGCATACAGAACTCATAACCCACTCATTTCTTAATGAAGGTATTTAACCTTAATGAAGGTATATTATGTCTTATATCATTATATATTCACATTACATGGCACATAATTTAAAGAAAAAATATAAGCCATTTGTGAATTATCTAATGTATCTAAATTGAGAAATTATATAGAGGAAAAAGTAAACTCAGTTACATTTAGTCTTCCAAACTTAATGAAAGTAGTGGAATACAGTGATTTCTTTATAATCATGATCACCTTACTTGAGACTGATGCATATAATAACATGTGGTATACATACACTGTGCTTATTATAAAAATGAAAGAAAAATTCAATTTGTAACAAACCAACTTGTGGTTAGGTAATTAAAGGGGGCAGATACTGTGGACTAGGTTATAAATATTTTTATTTATACAAAGATACTACACGCATCAGTGGTTTGTTTTAGGAAAGAAACATGTTTCTGTTGTTATATTTTGAGATGGGAAATTTCTCAGAAAACATGTTAAATAATTCTGAAAATGATAGGTGGCAAATTAAAAGGGACAGAACAAGTATATCTGATTTTCTTATTTCCTTTCTTTGAAAGGCAAAAGCTTTTTTCACAATATGGAAGTACCTGAGAGGTATTAACTATTAATCTTACCTGTAGAGGGGTGGACAGACTTCTTGAGTATTGATTTTAGCAGTGTAGGTGGTGTTACTGCACTGTGATAAATTATAAAAAGCAATATTTTAAGAATCATATAAACCATTTACATAATGCCTGAATTAATTTTTTCTTTCCTAACACATTACATTAGTGATTTCCAGGTACTTTTCAGTTTGTCCTTCAGTCAGTTGATTATGTTTGGTGACATTTTCCTTACAACATTATTTCTTATGGAAGAAGGGGAATTTAGTCCACAAATATTAGCCCAACAAAAACATACACAGAAGCACACAGAGAGAACGAGGATAACACACACACGCACACACACACACACACACACACACACACACACACACACAATACAGAAGACTATAGTTCCTCCCCAGCCATTTTTGTACGGTTGCAAAAGATGAAGGTCTATATTAAAGGTTCAATGAAACTAGTACCCAGGTTCCAGTTGTGATGTTTTCCTAGAGCACCACAGCATCTCTGTCATGATACTTGGTGGGTTTCTCACTGAATGTGATGTTATCTCCAAAGAACGTCCTTTGTGGACCAGAGAACAGATTCCTGCTTTAGTAGCATCCTTTAAGATACCATAGGTTTGGGTACTTCAAAGCTATTCCTTAGCAGCCCATTCATGAGTGAATCTTGAAGCCACAATCTGCCTGATTCTATTCCAAACAATGATTTCTATGAACTTAACAAGGTGAAAGCATGAGTAAGCAACAATAAAACTCAGTGCAGAATTCTAAGTTGAAGTGATGTGATTTCTTCAAGGTATGCTTTTGAATATTTGTAGCATATGGGAATTTTGAATCTGCACTTTGGATATTAGCTGTGATTATTTTTGCATCTTTGAACTTGGAGCAAATAAGCTATTTACTAATGTGTATCAAATGAGTTATTGATGCATAGTCACACACAAGATTGCAGAGTTGTCCTCTATTATGGAAGTGATCAATCAAAATGAGCACAGAACTGTGAAAGTTGCTACGGCTGACACAAAGCTCTGCATGCGGAGAAGGTGTCAAAGGAGGACAGTAGGTTGTTGGTTTTTGTAATACTGTCTGACGACTCAGAATGATCCCTAATTCTGTAGGCTCTCAGAAGCATACATGCAATGAAGGTCTATCTCACAAGGTGATTTCACAAGGTTTTGGAAAGCTGAGGAATGTCAGATGGACATCAATGTGTGGGTAACATCAAGAAGCTCATTTTCTAAAACAGAGTTGACACTGTGGAAATGATGGCTGAGTAGAAACGTCATGTCCATATGAACTAAACAGAACAACTTTTCAGTTTAAAATATATGTAGATAATACTGTAAGACAAAGCAAATATAAAATAAATAAAAGAGTGGCTATCTGAGAGTCCACTTAAGAATTAGTTTGTGCTCTTTGAATTTCCATAGATTTAACATATTGTCAAACCTTACCTGCCAAAAGCAGTTGGGTCAGTACTGCGATGTCCTTATAAAAACATAAGCAAAATGCATTTTATTACAATTCTATAAAGATATGCCATATAAAAATGTGTAAAGAGATATTTTGTTCCATTTCTTTGAGACCAATTTACAGACTATTCTAGAGTAAATATTCACTTGTAGGGAATTTCTTCATGCAGAATTCATCCATGTTTTATATATTTCATATTAAAGGAAGACATAAACTTACCAAGCATAATTCCTAAAAATAAACACCCATACACTATTGTGATTATTTTAAATGAAATCTGTCAGACCGATGGAGAATGGCATCATTCCTAGAATAAGTGTCCCCAACTGATTGTGTCAGAAAACAGCTTCATGTGTTTTTCCTTTGATTTGTTGATAATGATATTTGAAAAAAAATTCTAGATTGTATGTGGCAGCACAAAATTTTAATCTGGATCCCTATGATTTTCAAACTAGGTAGAACTATGTAACAGTGAGACTGTATCTCAAAACCAAGCCAAGGAAACAGCAGAGCCCAAATGGAAATGCATCCATGAGTTTATACCAGTTTTTGTTGTTCATGAAAACAGAGGACATTGTTCATATTTTTAGGAGAAGTTGCTCAGTATATGAGGCAAAATCCTACCACTGGGTCTAAAGGTACAGCTACTGTCCTTTGTATGAAACCAAGCAGCATGAGAAAGAAGAGGGACAGAGAACTTTACTAAACAGCTCAAATTAGGACACCAAGTTTGCTTTCCTTGTCCCCATTGAGGGAAGAAGATCTTTAGATCCAGCTGTCTTCCCAGCCTTAGGTGTATATTAAAGGATGCTCATGAAACCATCTCTCATCATTCATGAGTAGAAAAATTGGAAAGATCCCCTTGGTAGTAATGCCCCCCCAGCACTACCTCAGGTGAAAAAGCAGCAGAGAAGCAGCCATGACACTGGAGAAGCAAGTTCTATGTGTCAGCTTCTGACATGGAATTATTGTACATGTTTACATACATAAGCTCTGAACTCACTCCATCCTTCACTGCACACATGCACTGTGTGCTTAGAAATGGAACAATCACTTTAGGTCCTGTTTAGTGTGCCTTCTTAGCACTCCCCATGACTCAGGAAGGACATCTGCACCACCTACTTGTAGGCTAGATTCATGGCTCAGTAGGGAAGGCTATGCTGAACATGCAGGATGCCTCGGGCAGTCCTCACCACCACAAATGCCAAGAACAACAAAATTAATAATAATGTAGTAGAAGAAAAGGTGCTTGCATTGCAACAGTAGCAACTCTCTTCACCTCACCACTTGAGGGACAGAGGTCATTTGGATTCACTCCCTAGTATGGTTTCCAATGTCATTAGCTATGAAAGACTATGTGAAAAATAATTCCACCCTTTTAAAATGGGAAATTACCAATGGAAACAGTTATAGAGTGTGCCAAATCTCTCTAATTTAGAAATCACTGAGCAATTGAAAAAGACACATGATTTTATTTACATTGTTATGAAGAAATTAAGAAATGGAAGTGATTGGGTACGGTAGTTTTGTTTGAGACAAATACCTTTGAGAATCACTGAACTGTTAAAAAATACATGCAGTACAAAATACAAGTCATTTGTCATAAAACTAAAGGAAAACCATATTTCTAACAATGCGACTATGGTGGATATGTGCTGCTTTAATTTTTCTCATTTATTCAAAGACAGTTGAGATATCTGCATGAAGTTCAAATAAGCAATGTTTTGACAATATATTGTCACAGTTAAATGTGCTTTGAATTCATTTCTGAATCAGTTTTCACTTTCCAGAATATTAGTACACCATAACTGTGTTTATAGCTGATATCCTTAACTCCTTTTGAGGAGCTAAAATCTTTAGTATTTCATATTTTCTTTAGGGAAGGTAAAACCAGTTAGAACAATGCACTATAAAATTCTTACCATTGTTGAGTCTTTCATGCTCTTTTTCTCTCTGTTCTAGGTCTTCTGTAGATGTTCCTATACTGTGACATTTATTTAAAGTAATTATTTTAATATGCATATAAAACAGCATGAGATCTAAATTCTTTTTTTGGAGTTCCTAATATATTTTAAATTAGATATTTAGAAATATTGTTTAAAACAGGATCTCCCTATGTAGCCCACGTGGCTTTAGACCCATCATTGGAACATGTTGGCCTTGAAATCACAGAGGTCTCTTGGCCTCCTGCCTCCCAAATTCTAGGATTAAAGGTTGGCCAAAGAGGCCTAGTCAAATATCTCTGAATTCAATCTTCAGTAGTTGATTAGTATTATTGACTGCTGTCCTTTCCATCTTTTCTCATAGAGAAGAATCAGACATAATTTACCTTTTGATTATAACAGTCCTCTCCCGCCACACACACAAGAGAGCAGTGGTTTTTTTTTAACACAGGTTTTGTTTTGATGGCTCCAGAGCCTCTTTATTTTTGTACTCAGGGAGTTGGTGCTCTTGTTCCACTCATGTGCTGACGTGACCATAAGGCTCCACAGCCATATATCTGGCATGATTCTTAGGAGGCATTTCATTGATTGCTATACTCTCTACATAAGGGATGTTCAGTATGTCATGAAGTATTTTTTTTTTTTTTTTTGCTTGTATGTGTCCCTCTGCATGCATTCTTGAAAGCCATGACATTTGTGGTACTTTCAAGATGGCTTCAATAGTTCATTTATGGTGAATGCTGAAACCTTAACCTAGTTGTTTCATTGTTCAGTTAGTTTTGTGTGTCATGCTGAGACCACCCCTGTTGACAATCTCCAGGAAATTGTAGGGATCCTTCAACTTTGACCATTATCTTCACTGTCTTTTCACAAATAATGATCCCCAGTCTTATTAAAATCAATGATCTAATGTTACTTTTTTTTTTTTTTTTTTGCTAAGCATCTGTTATACTACCAGGCTATGGCCCATACTCTATAAATTAAATTTTTATTAAATATAATATACATAGCATACATGTTCCATAATTGTATTATTATTACTATTTTATGTGTCGATCCCAGTTCCCTCTCCCTCCCTCTCTGCCTCCCTCCCTTCCACTTACCCTCTTCTCCCCCCCCCACATGCATCCTTACTACCCTCCCCTCCCATCTAATGTTACTTTTTAATCTCCGTATTTAATGTGTGTTCCTGTTCACATGTGTATCTGCATCCTTGACTGCCAGTCCTTTTCTCCTTGGTTGTGAGGCAGATTCTCTTGTTGTTAACAACTGTATAAGCATGCTACCTAAGGTCTAAGTTTCCAGGCAGTCTGGTGGCTCCTTATATTAAAGATGCACACTAGCATAGCAGGCCCTTTCTGAGTTCTGAGGAATTGAACTCTGAATTCTTTGCTTTATGTGTTAAGTATCCCCAGGTCCCCAATCATGAAGTCTATGCTATACAATGTCAAAGACACAAACATTTCCCTTGCATGCTTTAAAGGTGATAGTTGTACAATTTCTGTTTATTTTGTACTAAATGAGACATAAATACCTTAAATGGCCTTCATTAGTGAGAAATACAGTTAGGCCAACTAAGAGGATCAGAGGTCTAATTGAAAGTGTTCTGTACTTAGTAGCCTCAGCTCCATGATTAATAGCAATATGCTCATAATAACTACATTAATTTAGCTTCAAAGTCTACTTCTAAAACTTGTGGGTTCTAGGGCCCAAGAGATGGCTCAGCAGGTACACTTACTTGTCACACTAGTCTAGAATTTGAGTACCTGGAACTCAAGAAACAGCCAGACACTGCAATGTGTCTATAACCCCATTACTTTTATAGTGAATGGGAGGTTGAGATAGGAAAATTTGAAAGAGGCTCCCCAATGTGCTAGTCTGGAGAAGTGTACAAGTGCCAAACAAAAGTAGAAGCTTTGCTTTAAAACGTTGGAAGACAATATATATCATCACACACTGTTGTCATGAGACGTGGATAGGAATATCAGAGTATACATGTCCTCTGACAGGAAAGCAAGTCCATGCAGATTAGCGATGGTAAAACTATGATCAGAATATATGGAATTTACAAAAGTTATTTTTAATAAAATTAAAGTGTACACACACAGAAACACACACACACACACACACACAATTATTTCTTGTAAAAAAAAAAAAGGATTTACTTTTTAGATCATCTGACTATAAACTGACATAATGGGTAAAAAGAAAAAAATACTTTCCATTTTAATGCTGAACTCATCGTGAACACCAAATGCCCTACTTAGAACTGTTACTACTGTGATGAACGCCATGATCAAAATCAACTTGGGAATGAAAAGATTAATTTGGCATGTATGTACACATTATAGTCCCTCAGTGAAGGAAGTCAGCAAAAACTCTATCTTTTGACCATAGTATATTACAGAAACATATAAAAAACAAAATGAAAAATATACTTCACTAAAATTATTATAAATTTCACTATCAAAAATAAACTTAACACTTTTCAAAGTAAACATGATTAATGCAAATTTGCCTTAAATGGAAAATCAGCAATAAAATCAGTTTGCAGATGGCAAACTGTTGTTTTTAAATGGGAAGCTCAGCCCTGGTACACATTGTTCTTTTGTTTTGGTTGGAACAATCCCTTTTCCTGCTCACACTCCCTGTGTGCTGGGCTCTCTCAATATGTGCTTCTGAGTTGAACCAGTCTTCCTCCTATCATGTTAGTAGCCCTTCTTAAGCAAATGTCACGCTCAGAAATAGCACTAAGATTGTAACAAAGAAGAAACAGTACCTCTTTGACTTAACCTCCGAATGTATATTAGCACCGTTCTGAATTAAAAATTCTGCCATCTCATGTTGGTTTTCATATAATGCAAGCTTGTATGGTGTCAAGCCATACTGCAAAGAAAAAAGAATTATTTTATAATTCTCAAATTTCGTTCTCAAAAGAAAAATTATCACAGGTTTTGTCAGCAACAGGATAGGTTTTCCTTCTGTCCTTGCTACAGTTTCACACACACATAGCCTCCCCCTTCCCTTTGACATACCTTTCCCCTGTTAAACATCGCCTATGAATACCAAACCTCTCCAGAGCTCTCCACAAACAATCCCTGGTTCCAAGCTTCTTAGCTCCATAGAGATGGGCCTCCATTGCCCCAAGCCTAAAACATGGAGTGTAGGTGTGCTGTGCCTCTGTTGAATGAGAGAGCTCAAGTGGCATCTCTGGAGAGTTTCTCAATCTGTTTTTCAAAACTTTCTTCCCTATACCAAGAATTATTATCTCCCAAACTTAACATTTCCTACTGTAGTGGTCCAAGGATCTGTTGGAGAAAGCCCCCAGACTCAAATAGTATGTGCACACAAAGAACCTTTATTCTGCAGAAATGGACAGTGTGCAGGGGTCAATCGGTCATCTAAAATAGTGATGAGGATCCGGATAAGGCACACAGGCCTTCCTAAAGAGACTTGGGGAATTCTAAGCATCTTTGTTTTAATTGGGCAGTCAGGCAGGGAACAGGTATATTGGGCACATGTTGATGGGACAAAGCTAGCAACAGTTTCCTCCATTGTGTTCAATAGGAGCCAGATACTGCATCTCTGGGTATCCCAGCCTTATTAAGGACAGGTTGAGAACTGCTTTGAGTATTGGATAAACTTGACTCAGGGCCTTCATGGACTCAAGCTTATGCCATTTATTACAATGGAGTTGTTCCTTGTTTAAGATGGTGTCACATTTTGGACCTTTCACTATGTACCTAGAAAGTTTGGAACAGTTAAATAAAAACTATCCTCCTCAATGATCAAATTTGCAAATTTGCCTGAGTGCCTGTGACCTTTCTCGTTTTCCACTCTAGCCTCACCTCTGAGAGACAAATCACATCACTATCTTATTTACAACAGATGTCTATTCGTTCTACAGACATTTTCCTTACAATTAATTCATTTTTTTGTTTCTGTGTAGGTGAAGTGTACTATGGGCATGAATCCGTCATTTGCTTAATTTTAAAATGAAACCCAATTCTGAAACAAAATATGCAGTGATGTGATACTTTAAACTACCTACAAAAATATGAATAGTATTACGTGGAGAAAATGTTTTACACTGACAGATTTAGTGAGACCACTTGAGATTTGGAATGTGGAAAGTGGATCTGATTGTTATCGCTGGAAATACAATGGGAATGAAGTTGACTGATCTTTACCTCTGTTTTGCCTTCAATATCTACATTGTATTCAAGCAGTTTGCTGACAATTGTTGTGTTACCCCTGCAAACAGCATGGTGCAGGGCTGTATTCCCACTGAGATCATTCACATGGGGATCAGCTCCCTGTGTCAGTAATATAGAAACACACTCCACATTGTCTCTCTGGGTAGCCTGTGGGTATAGTATAAAAAAAAAAAAACAGATGTTCAATTCAAGAAAGTCAGGATCAACATTCTTACAATTGCATTGAATAGTTCACCTTAGGTCAGACAAAATGATTAGGTTATACATACTGTCCTACTCTTTTTGAGACTGGGTCTTCTTAAGAAACCCAAGCTTGCCTAAATTCATAATATCACCATCAAACTTTGAAAACGGTAGAAGTTCAGGGTTATGCCACCACACCTAGACATTAAATAATTTCACCAGCAGTGGTTGGTTGTTGTTGTAGTGGATTAGGTTGTTCACTTGTTTTGATAACTTGACTCAGACTGAAGACACCTGGAAAATTGGATTCTCACTTGAATAATTGGCTCTATCAAACTGGACTCTGGGGAGGTCTGTGGAGCCTTCTCTTATTTGAGTTGACATGGGAGGGTACAGCTTCCTGGAGGTGCTGGCATGACTCGGCAGGCAAGTGGTCCAGAGTAGCATAGAAAATCCATGGAAAAGCAGCACCATGGTCTCTGCTTGAGTTCTTGCCTCTGGTTCCTGATTTGAGCCCCTGCCTTGGTTTCCTTTCATGATGGACTGTTATGTGGAATTATAGGGCAAATCATCATTCTATTTCCTGAGTTGGTTTTGGTCAATATTTGACCACAGCCACAAAAACCAAACAAGGACCAGATCTAATCCATTTCATACCCAAACTGTTGACAGATACCTACCTTAATCAAGGGGGTACAGCCTTCATCATCAGGGATGTTAATATTGGCTCTGTAGGATAACAACAATCTTACGACATCTGGGTGATTGTGGGCACAGGCATAATGTAGGGACGTTCTGCAAATTAAGAGAACAATTTAGGAAATTATGGATTACTGTGCAAAGGCACATTTAAGTATAATTCTAGATAGCAAAGTTCTTTTGCTTCTGATGTAAGAGAAGTAACTTTAATTTTCATATTTGCATATTTCTACACTCAAGGGTTCATTTGCTCTGCTGGGGATATAGTGCATGGCTGCACAATTCAAGGCAGGTGCTCTGTCACAAGCTTCTTCCTTCCTCAGAACAGCCTGTCTAGAGAACAGAAGACCACCAGATAGATTGAACTCAGCTTCGTTTGAAACCTATTCTAATCGCTGTTAATAGTTACTACCCAGGCTTCCTGTGAGCTCCATAATCATAGCCGGGCTATGGCTAACCCTGAGGTCTAACCCTAACCTGAACCCTGGGTCTAACGCTAATGCTTACCTTAAACCAAATCCTATCCCTAACACTGGTATCGAACCCTGAGTCTAACCCTCCTGGGTCTAAACCTAACCTAACCCCAATGCTAACCCTAACATTGAGGTCTATTCCTGGGTCTAACCTTAACTCTAACCCTAAAAACACATATATTAGGGGCTGGGAAGATGGCTTGGCATTTAGTAGCTCTAGTTATTCTTGTAAGAGACCAGGGTTTGATTTCCTGTACCCACGTGGCAGATCACATCTATCCATAGCTCCAGTCCTGGAAGATCCAACATCCTCTTCTGATGCTTGTGGTACATTCAAAATACATGCAGGCAAAACACTCACATACATGAATCTCAACAATTGTAAGTATATACACAAAAAAATATGTCTATAGTTTTATTAGCTAAATCACTTTAAAGCGCCCAATAATGTGACCTGAGAGACAATTGAAAAGTTGTAAACTAACTGAAATTCTTTGTTTTGCTGTTCTTAAAGAAGGCCAATGAGCTGCCACTCCAAGGTTGCTGCTCCCTGATGCCTAGGAGCTGAAAACAGGCACAAAATTTTCCACAGCTCCATGAAAGAAGAGCCTTAAGCATGACCTCTGCACTCCCTTAGACTGCAACCCTGAAAAGTGTGTTTCTCCCTGGTTGGCACTGACTGTCCACAACAGTTCCTGCCCCACCTGCCCCTCACCCCTCCTCAGGCCCCATTACCTGTCCCTCCTGTCATATTCATTCACATGGCATCCATGGACGTTGATGAATCTCTCCACTGAAGCCACATCACCCGCGCTGGCCGCCCTTTGCAGTTGCCCCACAGGGTCGTACCCGATTAAGTAGAGGGGAAATGCCTGCCTTTTATTAGACAGGCATCCATGCCTCAGGCACGCTGGCAGCAGGCGGGTGTACCAGCGAGCCCGCTTAGGAGCTTCATAAGTATAGGCATCGTAATCGAAATCCTCCTGCATGTTGATCCTCAGGACCCTCCCTGCCTTCCCTGCTCTCCCTGCCTTCTACTTTAGCCACCTGAAGCCTCCCAAACCACACACTAAATATTTGAAACTCGGTTTAGTCTCCCCACTGAGCCACAAGGGCGTCTCTTTAGGACAGGTCCTTGGTTCAGTGTGAGCTGAACTCTGTTTCTTCCTCAGCAACACAGTTGCCGTGGCCTTGTGACATGGTGTGAGCGAACAATGAGGCTCAACCGCTGTCTAACGTGCCTGGGATCTGTGCATGTCCATGTCTGACTCCAGTGTCGAGAGCCCACCATGCTTAGCACACGTTCAAAGCAATGTTAATTGGAATTTTAGAGTACACCTACCTTCATGAACTCAAAAACAGAACACAGAGGGGAGTTTGGAGATGGTTCTGGCCCTTACAGTCAGGAAGCCCTAGGAAAAGCTTCTTAAGCCTGGCTTGATGGTGTTAGGAAAACATTCGTCCTCAGTGAGTGAACCCAGACCCAAAGAGACAAATATTGTGTGTTTTCTCTTAGGAGGTTGCTAGTTCAAACATTCTGATATGAAACCATCAATTGGAATAACTAGTGAGATCTTCACTTTGTCTGCTTCTGTGGCACTGACCACGCCCATGGGGGTGGAGCCATGAGCGGAAGTAACTGGGAGAACTAGGTCTGAGGAGGAGCCCTGGAAGGCTCTCTTGCTGGCAAGAAAGGGAGGGGAGAGCATCCGTGGAACTTGCTGGTGTTCGCCTGTCATGGTTGTAAGTTATTTCTCCCTGAATAAACATCTATTCTGCCTATTATTTTTTTTTTATCCTTAGGTTTTATCCACAGAGGTTTGGTACCTAATAAGGGGGACCAGGATGGAGGACAGTATCTCTCAAGGTAGCAGAAATAGTCTATAATGTTATGAAGATTTAAAGGAAATCTATGTTTATATATATGTATCTATATGTATGAATGTATATATATGTATGTATGTGTGTGTGTATGAAGTAAATGTGTTTTTTTTAAATAATGATGTGTATTGAAATGTAATACACTTATGTAACAAGTTCACTCTTTTAAAGTATGCAATCTAGTAGGGGGCTTTTAGTATGTTCTTAACATTATGGAACCATCACCCTACTTTATTTTAAAAATACTTTTGTTATTTGAGTAGAAATCTTTGATTCCTTAGTAGTTTCTCTTCATTCCTCCAGACTTCATGCCTTATCAGTTACCAATCTAACACTCTGCTTCACTTTTCTCATTCCAGGTGTTCAATAGAAACGAATCCATCCAATAGAGAAGTATCCAACTCTTCAGTCCCTTGGCTAGTTTCAACTGAGCTTAATGATTGTAATGTTTACTCATGTTCTAGGATGTATCAGTTCTCCACTCCTTTCCTTGGTTAGGCCTTACACCATTATATTAACACACCTTCCTTTTTCTAGCCATTCATCAAGCAGTAGCTATTTGGTGTTACTCCCATTGTGTGGTATAAGACCTGGGAATACTGGGATTGTAGTGGCTGCAACACTTTATATCTACAGTTCCAGCAGTAATATACCAGGTTTCTGTTCCTCGGTTCCTTCACAGGCTCACATGCTTCCCAATACTTGTACCTACTACACAAGTGTTCTACCCCTTACTTATATATTCATCATGCAGCATGAACTTTTCAATGTTTAGACCAGAACTTGTTGTCCAGTCTCCACCTCATATGTATGTATGTATGTACACATCACACACACACACACACACACACACACACACACACACACACACATATATATATATATATATATATCCTCTACCAAGCGCTAGGATTACAGAGCTGTGCACCAGGATTGACTTTGCACTTGTATTTAGACCATCTTAATCACATCAAGCATCATCTCTTTGAGCTTTGATTTGCATTGCTTGAGAGCTGATGGTGTTGGACATCTTCCAATGTGCTAATGGGACAATTGGAAATTTGGAGAAATGTCTGTAGAGATTTGTTGCCTACTGTGACACAGGTCTGTCGTTTTAGTGTTGAGTTATGGGAAATCTTTATTCATTCTGAGGAAAGATTCTGAAGAGCCTATGTATTCTGAAGAGCACACAGGAATAAATCAAAGAGCAGGGGAAATATCCTGGTTTGTTCTGGATTCAAGTGGAATAATGAAAGCATGGACTTGATCATCAGACCCTTGTGTATTATACAATTACTGAATTACTTAACAATATTTAGTTACCTTCAAATGTCATGTTTCCTTTCAGTGTTAGAGAGGGAACATGGAGCCTTCCATGTGTGATGGAAGCTCACACCACACCCAAGCTGTAGGCACAACCCTATGTGTTTCTTTACAGTTAGCATTTCACAAGTGTTTGCTTGATTTAGGGGGAGGGAGAAGAATATAAGAAACACTTCTCTGTTTTATGTTTTTACTGGAAAGAATGTTAATGAGAAGAAAACTTGGTAATGGGGCAATTGAAATGACTCAGTACCTAAAACCACTTTCAACACAAGCCCGATGGCCTGTATTCCATCCATGCAATCCATGAAGGGAGAAGTAAACCAGCTCATAGATGTTGACCTCTGATCTCTACAAATCTACCTTGTCATGTCTCTCTCTCTTTCTCTCTCTCTCTCTCTCTCTCTCTCTCACACACACACATGCACGCACGCACGCACTCACAGACACACACATATTCACAGGCACACACACACTCAGAGAGAGAGAGAGAGAAATAAAGAGGGGGGAAGCCACGAAGAAACACTGCTTATTGATCTGTTTCCCAAAGCTTTCTGTGTGAATGAGGAGCATCTGCACTGACTGCCTCATCCCGCAGTAAGCTGGGTCTTCCCACATCAACCATTAAATAAAGCAATGTCCCCACAGACTTATCTACAAGACAATGTGATAAAGAAGTCCCCTCCCTCTTTCCAAAGAATTTCTAGGTTTGTGTCAAGTTGTCAAACATCACAGCAATATCCAGGGTTGAGGTTCTGCTGTGGAAGACGAAGTTCAGAAAGGACATGAAAGTCAATGTTTGGGGGGATTGCTATGAAACTTGGTCTTCTGCACATGACAAAGAGACTGTACTCATGAATTCAATACAGCTGTGTTTTCCTTAAGTAGACCTACACAATATTGGGGCTTCAACATTCTGTCATGTAATATGAAGGGATCATAATCTCATTTATTTTGAAGGGATCATAAGGCCTTACCCCTCTATGAGGAGTTATGGGAAATTATTGGTGAGGAAGCAACATAAAACTTTTACAAAGGAGAAAAATTCAGATTAGCCACAGCTCACTGCTTTATCTCTCTACAAAAGTACTACAGACTACTTGGTAATATGCATAATGTTTAACAAGATAGTACTTGGCAGAATGACTGGTTTTCAATGAAATATCCTCTAAAAAGCTACAGATACCATTAAAAGTGTAAAATTAATGACTTTTACTGAGTGCATTTTAACAGAAAACTCCTAAAATGAGTGTATAAACAGTTCAATAAATTTTCCTCTCATCTTTCAGAAAATTTTTTCTCTAGAATTTGTATGATTTTCCTTCTTCCTTACAGTGAACAGTGAAGACGTAGTAGGCCAGAAAGATGGAAGCAGGACCTGTAAGCAGCTAGAGGTGAGGAAGAACATGTGTGGTGGGAAGCTGAAGATAAAGGAGTGTACAGGGCAGTTGGTGAGAGGTGAGGATGAAAAACTGGACAACAGTCTCATTGACAAGGATGGGTCAGGGCAGACCATGGAAACTGACTCTTCCTGAGGGAAGAGCACAGCAGTGACATGGTTTAAGTGGTACTTTATTTTGTGTGTGTGTGCACAGTATGACAAAGGTACTATCTGGATAATGCAACTCTTTTACCTTTGTTGAAATCATGGGCTTCTAGTTGCATTTTTTCACATCTGGGTCATTTGTTCTCCTGTTGGCCAGTTACTACTTTTTTATCGGCTAGCTCTGTCTTAAGTATTAACCCATTTCTGTTGATCTATGTATTTCTCTTACTGGGGAGCCGGCAGCATATTGCTTTCTTTAGACTCTCCATCTTGACTCCTCCTTCCTACTTCCTATTTCCTCCTTGTTTCCTATTGGCCAACAGTGCTTTATTATTAACCAGTATGAGAAACATATACAGAGAATATATTATATTATAGTATGTTATATATTAGGCCTGTTACCCTGTTACCTGCTTTATTTGTAAAAGGGAAAATGTGTTAGTTTGCAGATACTGTGGTTACAGAGATGGTCAAGTTTCAAGTCTATGGCATTGTACCTCATGGTGAATGCATGAGAAGTTACACTTCTCTTCACACCTAGAGGGTTTGTGAGCCAAATAACACATTTGCCTTGTTAAGAGGCTGTTATTTTATATTCTTTTAACTGCAGAAATTACTGCAATTAAGTGTTTGAATTGAGACATGCATAATGACCTTTGCTTACTATGAATGAAAAGAAAAACAGGGTAGTGCACAGGGTGCTGGTCTTATGTGCTACTATCTCACCTCTGCTGTAAAGTAATTGGCCTGACCTCTACCGTCTTTCATTTTTCCATCCTATGACTCTGACCTCAATCTGTTCCTTTTTCCAGAATCTGGAGATGCAGAGTCAGCCATTTGCTAGAGTATTACTCTTTTATAGTGGAGGTGATTCTGTAGAAGTCCTTATGAAGAAAACACTTGCTGAATTTTTTCCATTCTGGAAAAAAGCAAGATAATTTTAAGTGTATTTTCTAGATGTGTATAACTTTGATCTTTTTATTTCTAAATGGGTCATTCATTATTAATTCAGGTCCTATTGATTTCTTAGTACTATTTCACATATTCTGTATCATTTTTTCTTTTCTTTTCCTAAAAAGTTGGTTTAAAAATATTTCTTCCACATAGTGTTGTGTCTGGGAGACGCTGTTTCCATCCCCTCTGGCTTTACAATCTTTCTTCCTCCTTTTCTGTGGAGACAATTGAGACTTGAATTGGGAGCCTTTGAAGAAGTCCTCCCATACACAACTGGGCTCACAT